CCACGGTGCAGCACACGGCAGACGGAGGCGGTTACCCAGTGTCCCAGTGCTTATAGGTCACTGTCAAAGTTAGACCCTCAACACAGTAGCCTCAACTCCAGGCCCTTTTGTCTACGTTTGTAGTCTATTTATTCTTCCTAGATTTGGGACATTTTCAGGACAGTAGAGACGATTACTGTTGCATTATTTCCCTTCCACGTTACATCTATACTCTTTTTTTTTTTTTTTTTTTTTTTTTTTACCTCAACTCTCTTGTCCCGGAGCCTCACACGACTCCAACACCCGTCATTCCATCAAATTGTTTGAAACATATTTCCTGCTTTTTGCGGCCGTTTAGAACAGTGAGGAACCAGTCAGTCATATTTAACTGCCAAACAAGAATGAATGTTTTTAACCAGGAGTTTAAAACTGTCTGTGCTGCACTGAGATTACACTAAATATTTATCACAGTTTCCTGATTCAGTCTTTATCTGTTAGACATCAATTCCTGGGACCGACACATTGGAGTCACCAAGTCCTAGTTGTTTCAGAGCAGCTTCAATCTGAATTACATGTTTGTCAGAAAACTAAGCGGTGATGTGGTCCGAAAAAAAAAAAAGTCAGTCAGTAATGGTTGACCAATCAGAGTCAATGTCCTCAGGTCTGGTGCCTAGTGTTAAAGCATGTTAACACTTCTCTCACTTGAGAAATAGTTCAATCCCCAGTGTCTGAATTAAGGCTAAGTTCACGCTGCAGATGTTGTTGCTCAAATCTGTTTAATTTTCTTGACTCTCGTGATTGATCAACATTCTGAAATTGCAGCAACTTCCAACTTGATAAACTCAAACACGCGTAGCATCGATACTCACGTCTGTGAACAGCGTTGGGTTTGACGCCACGTGTCTGGTGGCAGATGCATTTAAAGTATCACGTGAACAACTATGCTTTTGCAAAAAATTCTGAATTGAGCAACAAGACCTTTAGTGTGACCGTGGCCTTGGTCATTAAGAGTTGACGGCAGGGGAAAAAAGGGAAACGGGCTGTAAACACAACACTCACTCTAGTTTGTTCTCATTTTGTTCAGTTCATCCACCTGGTCTTTATGACGTTACATCTTCAACACCCAAAGGGAAAATTCTTGTTCTGTCCCATAAATAAATAGTTCTTATACCGATGTTTTCCTGCAGAGGTCAGTGCTGTTGTACATACTGTTGATGTGAGTGTAATTAGCCAAATTAGGTGACATATTAGAAAGTGTCTTTTCTAAAAAAAAAAGAAGAAGAAAAAAAAATGTTACTAAACTGTTTTTGTATTCTATTTTTTATTAAGTGTTTTGACAAAAGCTCTCTTTCTGTTGTCGTTTTTTTCTAGTCCATGTGGTGAAAGTGAAGCCTTGTTGCAGCAGGGATTCTGCTCCCTGCACGTTTGTGTGAATGTACGTGTTGTTCTGTCACATGGGAAACCAGAGACGGATGAGAATTGTATTAGAAATGTCTTAATAGACCTTTGTTGCATTTTTAAAAAGAAAAAAACACAAAACATTTTTTTTTACTTTACTAACTTCAGTGGTCTGTCAAAGAGCTGTGTTTTATTTTTTTGCGAGGTGAATGTGTTGTTGTGACATATTTTCCCTGTTTTTAAAGAAATATAGTTCACTTTTCTTCCTTGTAACGTTACATCAAGCTGACAGTTTTGTCTTTTGGAGAGGATTCAAACGCCTTTCCCTTTGAATGCTATGAGATTTATTTTTTCATTTGTTATTTTCTCAAACCCTGGGTGTCTGGTTAGTTTGTTTATGATTGGGTTTTCTTTTCTTGTCTTAATAGAAGCTTCTCCCTCCTCCTCCTCCTCCCACCTTCCTCTCTCCCACTGTCCATTCACGGTTTGACTGAAGTAGAGCAAAGGATTTAATACCAACACGAGAGGCCCAGGAGTTACACGAGAACCTTCTGGTTCCATCGTTAGCCGTTGACTTTCTCTTTGTTTTTACTCTTGGTGCTTTCTTTGTAATTTAGCACATGAAGAAATGACTGAAGCCATGTGTTAGACACCGACATGTTTGAGTCTCACAGCATAAAAAACAAACAAACAAACAAACTTCAAAACAACTGTGATTTACTGTATCTTCCTTTTTTATTTTTAAAAAAAAGTAATATTCTTTAAGCTTATATAACTATTTCTAACCTCGGACAGAGAGACCAGGGCCTGGGGGACGGGTTTCGGCACATGTGAAGAGATTAAAAAAATAAAAGCAGGAATCCACATGTTTCCAGCACCTGAGTGTCGAGGTGTCGAGAGCCTCTGCATCAACTGCACTCGCATCACGTCTGCGGTGGTGCTGGTGGTTGTGGTTTGAAAAGGTGGCTTAAAAAAAAAAAAAAAAAAAACAACGCAGATGCTGCTCACGACCACAAGTGCCAGAAGACGTCCGCTGGAGCTGACAAGCATCAAAACAATACGAAAAAAACACACACTCCTGATGCAGGAGGAGAACCGTGAATGTTTTATACTCTCTCTCTCTGTGTGTGTGTGTGTGTGTGTGTGTTATAATGATATGACAAAGGCAAAAGTCAATACCAAAGAATCTTCCAGTCCGGCAGCACCGGTGACGTAGTCTGGGGCCAGTGAGGGTAACTGAGGAGCAGAGTTTCCTAAAACATCAGTTTCACACCAGGCCGATGGAGGAACAGTTTGAGGGAAATATTTGGTAAAAAGCACAAAGTCATTAATTGTGTGGTTGCTGATTTACACATGACCTCGTCAGACCCTGGTGTCTCTGGCTCTCTGCATGCTCGTTGTGTTTGTTTGTTTCTGTGTTATGTGTGTGGCGCCTCTCTCTCTCTCTCTCACACACACACACACACACACTCACACCTCCATCCTCTCAGTTTCTTCCTGGAGCCTCTTCAAATTGTACTGTAGTTTTTGTGAATGATGTTCAGGGATGGAGGGGTGGAGACAAAAAAAGTGTGTACATTCATGCTAAGATTATCTGGATGTATGTAGCATTTAATTTCACAGCACTAACGATTAAAACCTTTGTTCATTTATAAACTAATGAGTCTACGCAGTTGTTTTGATTTACTGCCTATTGGAGGAGGTAAGAACTTTAAAACAAAATATTTTTTATACAGTATATATATTTAAATTACCTATAATTTAATTGTAATAATGTATTTCGCAGAAAAATATAGTCCAAAACAAGCTACTACTCAGTTTGACTATAAATTTTTATACAGTATATATATTTAAATTTCTAATAATTTAATTGTAATAATGTATTTTGCAGAAAAATATAGGTCAAAACAAGCTACTACTCAGTCACTATATAGATTTAGCTAAATTTACTTTTAAAATGTCATAATTACTCAACTAAATCAACTAAAATGATTTATTTAATTGACCAGAAACAGAAATAAAAACTAAAAATTAATTTGCAATAGAGAAAATACATTTTAGGAATATAGGAAGTAAATTAAATGAATTTATAGATTTATAATTTATAGATTAAATGATGCACATTTGATTTATTTGAGTAAATCCTGCAGGTTTTTACACAGCTGTTACCTGAGTGTGTGTGTTCTACCACATTCTAGTCGCTGCGGGGCGCTGTGACCCCGACCACAGCAGAACAGCAGCTTCACCTCGGTGCCGAGCATCTTTCACATCCGGGCGGTTCTCGCTCCCTCACTCCGCTTCCCTTCCCCTGTCTGTGCTAAGCTCTGCACCGGGGAGGTCCGCGGCTGCTCTTCAAACCCCCCGCATTCCGGGGCCCCTTCGTCGGCGTCTGGTACCGCCTTCTCCCTCCCCCACCCCCGAGGACCCCCTTCAGCCTTCACTTCGCCTTTTTCCCCCGCACAACCAAAGGCTCATGACGCGGGCTACGCCGATGGTGGTGCACGGCGCCGAGCGCTCCCCGTCGGTGCGACATCTCCGCGCTGAAGCAGCAGCAGCAGCAGCCGCAGCATCGCGGGCTAACGTAAGCTAACAACATCGATCTCACCGCTTCTCCTACTCCCCCCGCACCCCGCACCTCTGCCTCAGACCACCGCCGTCAGAGCCTTCTCATCAGCCGCTGATTGATAGCTCAACACTGGACCACCAAGGACACCCCCACCAACCCACCCACCCACTCCACGACCGTCCACCGCCCAGCGCAGGAAGCCCACCCTTTTCTCCCCTCATTCAGGGCCCGGGTTGAGAGCAGTTTCATGCCGATATTTTCTCGTTTTTAGTCCTCAAATCTCCTCCTCGATCCTCTCTGTGGCCTTTTTCGGGGTCCGTTTCTTCTCTACCTCAGCACCCGATGCCTCCCCGCCCCTGTCTGTGACCACCGCTGCACTATATCACCCATCCCCGGGCTCCACAACCAGGCTCTGCTGCTACTGACAATCCGACCAAGGAGCACTGCTGCTGCTGCTGCTGCTGCTGCTGCTGGACTGCGGTGAACCTCTGTGGACACATCCGGTTCCCTCCACCTCGACCCTCTGTTTTTTTTTATCACACTCTGCGTGGGGCTCACAGATAAAGAAGAAATCACTTTACGGACAATTACTTCCGCCTGCTTTGTGAGCTCCGCCGCTGCGGCCGAGCCACGGGTCTCGTCATGCCGGGTCCAGTGGCCGGTAGTAAGTCCCGTGTGTACGCCGACGTCAACACGCTGAAGAGCCGGGAGTACTGGGACTATGAGGCCCACGTCCCCAACTGGAAGTGAGGAGACCCTCTGTTTACTGCATGTTGCTGTAGTTACGTGTGTGTGTGTGGCAGATGGATGTCTATTAATACACATTAGGTTGTTAATACTCAGAGATGGTGCAGCCACAGCCAGGACCTGCTTTAACACACCTCCTCCACCTCCTCCATCCTCATCCGTCACCTCCAAGTCCAGGTCCCTCCACCCGTGCTCCTTCATCACCTCGGCCTGAGCTCCGTCTTCACTCTTCTTCTACCTCTTCCCCTTGTCTTTTACTCCACCCTCCATCTATTTTTTTCCCTCCACTTTTGACTAGGCATGTCCGATAATATCAGCCGTCCGATGTTAGCTTGATTATTTGACATCTGTAAGAATCGTTATTACGGTTTTTACTCCGATAATGAAAACCCTATAACACAATGCCTGTGTTTGACCAAAAGCTAAAATAGTTTTGGGGATAAACGGCTGTATGGGAAAGAGAAGGCCACTAGATGGCAGCATTGCAGCTCATTTTATTCATCTATTTTAATCATCAGGTGATTGTATGCCACTCATACAGTGTTTTTTTTTCAGCAGCTTATTTTATTCATCTATTTTAATCATCCGGTGATTGTATGCCACTCATACAGTGGTTTTCTTTCCCGATAAATACATAAATCTTATCAGGTCTATATCGGTATCGGTTGATATAAAAAATTGGACAATAACGCCATATTGGATATCGGAAAAAGTTAATATCGTACGTCCCTACGACCCTCCAATCCACCGCTGTCTCCACCTCTGTCCTCACTCAAATCTCTCCGTCCAATTCTTCTGTTGTTTTTGGCTCCCACTAGTGTCCACATCCACCTCTCTCCTCCACTGCTGCTCCTCCATCTTCATCACTGACGAATTAAAAAACTGCTCAGGTCGACACATCTTTTTAAAATGACAAATATTGAATGTAGTTTCCCGTTCGTCCGTCACCTCTCATGACTCAGGTGTAAATATTTTTACACCAGTCCTGATCCTGTGTCCCCACCTCACCCTCCGTGTGGACTCCATCGCCCCCTCCCTCTCCCTCTCCTCCCCCCGTGTCTTTCTTGGAAATCAGAAGCAGAAATCACTTACTCCCCCTGAGGCAGAGTTTTTTTTTTCCCTCTCACTAACAGGAACACTCACTTTTCAGCACCACCTTAATCGCACCGTGACGCTGAAAATAATTTCTCCTCCTTTTCTGTCACATCTGCTCCGCTCTGCCTCTCCTCCCGTCCCTATAGCAACCAGGAGGACTACCAGCTGGTCCGTAAGCTGGGCAGAGGGAAGTACAGCGAGGTGTTCGAGGCCATCAACATCACCAACAACGAGAAGGTGGTGGTGAAGATCCTGAAGGTGAGGAGCTGGAACCAAGTTTTGGTTCTTGTGCCACATGTTTTTTATTAATAGAATTCAGCTGTTGATTAAACATAGGATGAAATACAACAGTGGGAAAAACAGGAAATCCATTTGTAAAAGTAGGATGTATTTTTAGAGATTGCTGTTGAGCAAAGGTAGGATTTTAACTCCTGCCATTCACAAGGTCCTGGGTTTGATTCCCCCCCTGAAGCCCAAAGCTCAGGTTGGGTTGTGTCATGAAGGTTTTCTGTTATCAATTTAATTTACTTTTGCTTTATTTTATTTTTTATTACCGTTTTTTCCCGACGATATGTTGCAATTTTTTTTTTTTTTTATTACCGTTTTTTCCCGACTATATGTTGCAATAAGTTACACTAGTGCCCTCTAGCGGCTGTCAGTATTAAAATAAAGAACGTTCATTTTTTAGTGGTACAGGAATAGCAGATACTGATACACAAGCCTAGAGTGCCCTCTAGCGGCTGTCAGGGTGATCATAACAAACTTTTGAAATGATATATTTTTTTATATACAAGTCCCACACCCAAACAAAGGATGAAAAAAAAACCCTGATATTTATTTCCTGTGTTCTCTGTTTGTTGCATCAGCCTGTAAAGAAGAAGAAAATCAAGCGTGAGATCAAGATCCTGGAGAACCTGCGCGGAGGAACCAACATCATCCGACTGGTGGACATAGTCAAAGACCCAGTGGTTGGTGAAAAGTCACTGGAGTTGTGTGTTCAAAAAGAATGTAGTAGTAGAAGTGTACAGTTGGTACAACCTTCAGAGCTGCAGGTTGGATCCTGGTGTTTCTGTCGTCCAATCAGTGACCAATCAGACGATGGAATCAATGCTGGTCGTTATGAATGGTTTCTGTCTTGATTTATTTTCCTCTCTCTCTCTCTCTGTTTCTCCCCCCTTGATCATTTTGACTTGATGAACAGTCCAGAACTCCAGCGTTGGTCTTTGAATGCATTAATAACACAGACTTCAAGGTACAATCCTCCTCCTCCTCCTCCTCACCACACCTCCCCCTGCTGGTGTCCCCTCAGATTTTTCCGTCTTTGTTTTTTTTTTTCTCTCGACCTGACCATGACATGTTCACCTGGTCTGTGTTTCACTGCAGGAGTTGTACCAGAAGCTCACGGACTATGACATCAGATTCTACATGTATGAACTACTGAAGGTGGGACTACACACACAAACGTGCACACACACACGTGCACACGCCTGCTCTCTGTTCAGTGTTTTTTTTTCCACAAAACTAATTTTTTTTTTTTAATTCCATCAGTTTTTTCCATGTAAAGTAAATTTAAATAAAATCACTTCTCATAGATCCCTTCCAAAAGTCAAAGTCAAATTTCTTTACACCATAATAAAAGCTGAAAGATCCGTTTTTACAAGATATTTTTCCGGTTGTTAATTGAACAAACTCAGCTTTGTCTGATTTCGTCCTGTGCACGTGCTCCTCCCACGCACAGGACGTACTGTCAGCCCGCCATCACTGGTCCTAATAATAAAACCGTCCACGGACTTAAAGACAGGAACATCTCCCAGTGTCTCCAACCAAATAATAGACTGCGCTGCACGAGTGGGAGAGATCTGCAGCCGTCAGCTCCGGCTCTCTGCGGCGGCTGATCTGATCTGATCCGGGTTTTTACAGATGTTGAATGTCATTTTTACACTGAAATACTTTTGGATATTTTTGTTAGTTCACTGGTGCCTCGTGCATCGTGAGGGTTACGTTCCAAGACTGCGATCGGTGGAAAAAACGCGAAATAGAGACGCGATAGTTTTTATATTATTTATGTATATATTTTAACTTTACGAAGCCTTTAGGAGGCATCGTAGGGCGTGAAATATGGAAAAAAAATTTGACCAAACTTTCACAAATCTCATTTACCCGTATGAAAATATTGGAAATTTAAAAATGTTTATATACCGTTAAAAAAACCCACGATACAAGAACACATTTAAAATATTTAAAAAACGTGATGCACTAGGGGGCGCTACAGCCAAACCACGATACAGCGAGGGTCTACTGTGTTACTACGATACTAAAAAAGGTTATTCCCTGACTCTGTGTCTCTGTGTCAGGCTCTGGACTACTGTCACAGTATGGGAATCATGCACCGTGACGTCAAACCACACAATGTGATGATTGATCACCAGATGAGAAAGGTGGGCGGCACACACACACACACACACACACACACACACACACACACACACACTATTACTATTTCAGCCGCTCTCTTCTGCTTCGGCTTCTATTTATTTCCTGTGTGGTGTGAGGTTGGTGTGTAGACTGTGTGGGCGGTGAGAGCTGGAGTCTCACAGCAAGAAGTGTCCTGGTTTGAATCCCACCTCTCGGTGTGACGCTGGCATGTTTTTCATGTGTGTGTGGGGGAAATCATGCAAAAGTCTTTATTTAGAAAACCCTGGAAGGGTTGTGCTAAAAATGAGAGGAGGAGAAGATGGAGCGGTGAACGGACGTCTTGGTGACACAACACATTTATGTGTGTGTGTGTGTGTATGATTGTTTTTTTTAATGTATCTACAGTATCATCTATATATTTACATACATATATGTATATTAATATTAAGTATTATTGTATATATATATTTTTTTTATATTTATATATATACAGTATATGTACAATATATACTGTATATAATCAAAGTACAGTAACTCTGGATTTCTCCTTCTATTTAAAATACCAACTTTGCCCAGCAGAGGGCAGCAGAGCAATGTAAGTGTGAGTGAGCCTCATCTAAAACCAAAGGCCGGTGGAACCTGAGGTCAGAGCTGGTGTCCAGACTCTGTACTGTGACAAATGTTGACCTCAGTTAAGACTCTGTTTAGTTTTTTTTTCGTTTATGTTATTATTATTTATTTATTATTTATTTATTATATTATTTTTTATGTCTTTTTTTCTGTCACAGCTTCGTCTCATAGACTGGGGTTTGGCCGAGTTTTATCATCCGTCCCAGGAGTACAACGTCAGAGTGGCCTCGCGATACTTCAAAGGCCCTGAACTCCTGGTGGATTACCAGGTAACCTTGAATGTTTTGCTCAGGTCCTTGAAATCCTTGAAAGTAGATTGGAAAGCGCTGGATTTGGTTTTGAAAGTACTTGAAGTTTCTCGTGGACATGTCGACTTCCTTAGAATGTGTTTACATTTTGAAGAAGTATAACCAGGCCTTGACAGGTGTGGGGGTGTGGGTGGGGCTTGTGTGTTTCAGATGTATGACTACAGTCTGGACATGTGGAGCCTGGGCTGCATGTTGGCCAGTATGATCTTTCAGAAAGAGCCCTTCTTCCACGGACAGGACAACTACGATCAGGTTGGACCAACAGAAACACAGAAACAGGAAAAAAAACAAACAAACAAACCATTTCACAGTTTGAGTTTTCAACCCTTTCTGATTTGTTCTCATGGTTCAGTTGGTCCGAATCGCCAAGGTCCTGGGGACGGACGAGCTGTTCGGCTACCTGCGGAAATACCACATCGAACTGGACCCACGCTTCAAGGACCTGCTGGGACAGTAAGTCCACCGTCTCTGGGGTCTGCTTTAGCTTGAGGGACGTGTCCAGCTGTTGTGAAGTTGAGGACAGACGCTGCTGTGGACGCTTCACTCGATCATCTGCATGTCCCTCATGTCCTCCTTGTCTCCGCTGCAGGCAGAGCAGGAAGCGCTGGGAACAGTTTGTGCAGACGGAGAACCAGCACCTGGTCAGTCCTGAAGCTCTGGACCTGCTGGACAAGCTGCTACGCTACGACCACCAGCAGAGGCTAACGGCCACGGAGGCCATGGACCACCCGTACTTCTGTAGGTGGATCGGTACCAAACAGTACCAGTGCCTGGGGTGTTGTATTCCAGCTGAAATGTTCCTGAAGTTTCCCTCCTCTTCCTCCGACAGATCCCGTCGTGAAGGAACAATCTCTGTCCAACTCTGACAACAACATGGTTTCCAGTGGCAACACTACAGCACGGTGAAACACAGGTACCCGTCCAGTACTGCAGTACTGTGCCCTGGACAGTACTATGCAGAAAGGCTTAGAGACAGTCGTCCCTCGCTGTATTGCGGTTCGGCTGTAGCGCCCTCAGTCCATCGCAGGTTTTTAATATTTTAAATGTATTCTTGTATTGCGGATGTTTCGCTCTATCGCGGGTTATTGCGGTATATAAATATTTTTTAATTTTTCATTATTTGTGTGTTAAAATTTTCATGATAAAATAAGCATTTTCTAGCCTAAGAAGAAAAAAAAGTGTGTTTCTGTAACACATACATACAGGGAGTTGCAAGAAATAACCTGTACGTACGGGTAAACGAGATTTGTGAAAATTTAGTTAATTTTTTTATCTCCTACGATGTTAATCTCCTACGATGTCTACGGGTAAACGAGATTTGTGAAAATTTTTTTATCTCCTACGATGGGTCCGTAAGGGTTAATACATATGTAAATAATATAATAATAGGGATGTCCGATAATATATACGGCAAATATTACCATATTTTGTCATATCTGTAAGAATCGTTATTGTTTTTTTCTCCGATAATGAAAACCTGATAACCCCTAGGGGGCAGAATTATAATTGAGTAACACTCAATAACTGTTTGCACAATATCGGCATATCAATATCGGACATCCCTATGTAATGACAATCGCATCTGTACTTTGCGATTTTTAGCCTATCGCGGGCGTTCTCAGAACGTAACCCTCGCGATAGTCTGAAGTCTGAAGTTTCCTGCCTTTTCTTCCTCTGTCCTAACGCAGAGTTAAAGAAGAATCTGATGAAGACAATGATGAAGACAATGATGATGATGATGAAGATGATGCTCGTTACCTCAACTTTGTACCCGGTTGTGACCGTTACTCTTGACCAGTGGATCAAAGTGTCTCTGACCAGTTACACACTCACAGATACTGTATGTGCATATGCACACACACACACACACACACACACACACACACACACACACACATTTACATACATGAAGGGAGCACAACTCCATACACACATTCACACCAACGCACACTGAACCCTCCTCCTCTTCCTCCTCTTCCTCCTCCTCCTCCTCCTCGTCCTCCTCTGTATCGGTCTGTGATTGGCTCGTTCTGGTTTCCTGTCCAGCAGCCTGACCTTTGACCTTGAACCTGCTCCCTGTGTCCCTCATGGTCTACTCCAGACGTCTTTGTCCTCCCAGATATATTGTCTCATGTACTGTAGCTCCACAGGGACAAAGTACTTTTAAAGACATTTATGTCCTCCTCCTCCTCTTCCTCCTCCTCTTCCTCCTCCCCCCCCTTTATGTCATCCCCCTCCTTGGTTTGCATCAGCATGGAGAATGAGCAGGAGTGTGTGCCTGTACCAGCCCCGCCCCTTCCTCCCTCGCTCCCTCCCTTCCGTCTGTCCGTCCGTCCGTCCGCCCCCCCATCCTCTCATGTCCTCCGACGGACAGATGGACAGATGGACGGACGTCTTAGCTCTACTCCAGTTCTTCAGTGGCATGGTGGACTCTCTCTATAGATGGAATGATGACAATGATGATGATGATATTATTATTAATAATATTAATGAAAAATAAATCATTTTTATTTAGATGAATTCTGCCTTGTTATTCGTCGCCGTCCCGTCCGCTCCGTCCTCACGTTAAATTTGATATTTTATTACAGTTAAAATAATGTCAAATTTTTAACCAGTAAAAAATATTTGCTGAGTTCAGACTGTGATATTTAAAAAAAAAAATCTTTGTAGGAGCTTTCTAAACTGGAATCTAAAGATTTGGAGCTGATTCTCATGCACCTTTAAACTGGACGACCTCAGGGTCAGGAGGTCAGGATGTCTTAGACCCGTATGAAGTTTTTAAATTTAATTTTTTTTACAAATACAACAAACATCTGATGCTTTTACATTTTTTACACCAGACAAATACAGGATCGTGAGAAACAGTTCAACTGTCGTCTTCCTGTTGTACAAAGATGTGACAATGGAAAACTCTGACCCCTGACCTGTGACCTGCAGCGCCCCCTCACCTGTACCGTAACCAAACCCTGGCAGTGAGTTGTTGGCAGCAGACGTAGGCAGTGACGTGGTACAGTAAGACTAGTCAGTAATGAGAGGATGAAAGTCGACACCGCTGTGGCTAAAGCAGCAACAACGAGTTCATACCTGCCCCACTTCACCCCCCCTCCTCCCAGAGGGGAGGGCAGGGAGGAGAGGGGAGGGGAGGGGCTTCACCTAACACCACCTTCACTACAACAGGCCACAGATGGCTGCTGATGTCGCTGAAGGAGGAAACCACAGCTGGGCTGCGGCGACCACAGACTCTGGAACCTGATTGGCCACAGTCTGTGGGCAGCAGGATCCAGGCAACTGTTGATGATGGTCCATATTTGGAGTCTTGATTTATGAAGGAGTCAGCCTGAGGTTTTACACAGTGTTAGCTCTTGGAAAAGTCGCGATGTCCGATATTAACTTTTTGCCGGTATCCGTATGCCGATATTGTCAAAAAACTGAATTAATGGTAATACTAATATTTATTTATTTATCTGTACAACCCACTGTATGAGTTGCTGGCACCAGTATTCTCCATACAATCCCCTGATTATTAAAATAGATTAATAAAATGAGTGGCAACGCTGCCATCTAGTGACTTTCACTCTTATATAAAGCTGTTTTTCCCCAAAAACTATTTTTTAGCACACAGGGATTGCCTTATCATAGGAAAAAACAATAACGATTCTTACTGCTATCACATAATTATGCTAAGATTGGACGCTAATATTGGACATCCCTAAAAGAACAAGAAATTAAACCCACTTATTGACCCCCCCTCATCTCCCCCCGTCGCCCCCAGAAGATTTGTTGTTAATCCTCAACAGGTCACTCAATATCCCCTGTTGTTGCTGCTGCTCCTGGACTGTCTGTGTGACGTATCAGTTTTCACCTCGTATAGAAACCAGAGCTTTGGCTTCCTCTTCTACAACCTGACTCTGCGACGATGCAACACACACACACACACACACTGACAGAGAGACACCTATAGGATCACTACATTACCATTTAAACATATTGGCCATAAAACATGCAGTGACCACTGTATGTTGACCCCCCTCTTCCCTGCCCCCCCCGCTCTCCGTACACGTGCAGGTGAGCTGGAATCTCCCGTGTTGAGACCTCAGATGAATAATTCTGGGCAGTAAACACACTCACCTGCTGCTGCTCACTGCTTACACTTCTGCCTGACTGCTTTAGCTCCAGCGCATGTGACGCTCACGCACGTGGCCCTGGGCGTTCAATGGAAGAGACGTTGTAAATGACAGGATTAACACAGAGTCATAATAAAATGTTAGCTACGTAGCTATAATAAATGACCAATAAATGACCCTTTATTCTGATTTGTCTTTAAAGATATAAATGTCAAATTCAAATTAAAACATCAACGAAGAGCTCAGCAGAAGCTAACACGAGTCACAGAGACAGGCTAGTTCCTGTGGAAATATTCAAATGTTAGATTAAAGATTAGTGAACAGAAGTGACTGTTGTCACTGTGGGAATGTTGTTCTGAAGTTTCAGCCAAAAACACAGCAGCTAAACTATCAAATGCGTTCCGAAAAAGTGAAAAAAAATGTGCAAATAAATCATATAAAAACATGTACATACATACAGAGCTAAGGACAAAAGGCTAAGAGTGAAAAATGAGTCAAAAAAGAAGCTAAAATACAGATAAATCTTCTATAAGGTAGAAAACAAAAATGAGTGTGTGTTAAACACTCGGTAAAAATGAGATGATATCAACTGGAGCTATACACAGATGATGATGGCTGAAATAAATTCAATAAATATTTTATATTTTGTCTAATATTATGATCCAAACAGTGACACAAGAAGGACCAGGAGAGACAGTTGATTTTCACTGATACACACTTTATTATAAGTTAATGATCGAATCAAACACAAATACAGGAAAATACAAAATACAGAAAAAACAAACAACTCCCATTTTGAAATTGACTTGAATTGACGGATGATTGTAAATAATTCCCGGTCGTCTCTTCAACATCTTTGTCCTTCTCCACTGTCCTCAGGTGTCACTGTCCATGTTGAATGCTTTGAATTACCCTCTCCACTAGAGGGCGGTGGAAGGGGCGGCTGATGGTCCCACACTGCTGTCAGTGTCAGCTCAATGATTGTATATAAAAAAGGAACGCAGCCATTTGGTCGCCAAACCACGTGCACCGTAGCACTGTGCAACCGGACGTTGACCGTGTCGTATTGCGTGTGTGTGGTTACGTGTAACTTTTTAGTTAAAAAAAAAAAAATCTATCAACAACATTTTTCAAAATGGACATTTGATCCAAGAAGACCTTGAAAAAACCTTATCTTCCCACAGACTTCAACTCATTCAAAGGTCAGGTCGCAACCAATCGAGTCGCCCCCTGCTGGTCCACTGCCATAGATGGCTGTGTCCATTTCTTATATACAGTCCGTGGCTGGGCCGGGCCGCGGGCCGCGGGCTTCAGCCCACTTGTTTTATCTTGCGTTTGTGTCTGGAACAGTTCAGGAAGCACTTGGTTCCAGTGGAGGCGACGCTCGGGGACGGAGAGACCTGCTTCCTGCGAGGAGACACAGAGACAGAGGGAGAAACCAGACACAGAGGAATGAGAAGAGGAAGTGTGATTGAATATTTTGTGGCGGCCGTGACACGGCGGCACTTAATTATTAACCGCAGCCTCCTGTGGCCTCTGCTAACAAAGCGCTGGGGTGATCACAGTCCAGATTGGGGCGGGAGAGATCAGCACGGACAGGCGGCTCGTTATCTTCAATGAATAAATCAGTAATGTCACAGTGGTAATCAGTCTGATGGACAGACACACAGGGAAAATATATCCTGTTTTTAGCTCCTGTAGCTGCTGGTCTATGACCCCACGACCCCACAACTGTGACCCCAGGTAAATTAGTAGTTGTTAACTTGTTTAATAGTTTCCAGCTCGAAAATAGTTGATTGGAAGTTAATTTTACTAAAGATGATAAAACAGTTTATAAAAAAGTTTTGAAATCCAATAATCTTCTAGTTTAAACGACCTCATCATTGACTAAAATCTCGGCCTGTTTAGATGAAGACGACGCTGATATACTGGCAGGAATTGAAGAAAGACACAAAGATCTTCTTCAACAGACCCATGATTTTTGTTTTTTTGGTTTTCATAGCCATCTGCTGCCACCTAGCAGAAGACTATTTAAATGTTCTGCCTTTTATGCTCTGACGAACAAAGAAAAATTATATGCGATAAATAAATAATAGTTTTCAGCCCAATTAAGTGATAATTTTCCATGGGACACTAGCATGCCACGACCCAGGGGTTGGGAATCGCTCACATATAACACCAAAAATCAGAATAGAACAATAGATTGACCGACTGTTTCACCAGGCCACACGTCAACAACTCCTGGGAGTTGTGGTATAAAATCGTTGGTTTTCTCTATGAGATTTGGTGAAAGGTGAACTGTGATTCGTTACCTGGAGGCCACCCCCACGGCGGCCGCCTCTCTCTTCTTGATCTGCTTTATCAACTTCAACATGCGACAGATCTGCCGCAGCGTCATCCTGGGAGCGTGACCTCCCACTCGGGGTCGAGGGACGTAGTGCGGGCCACGGTACGCAAACAGTGACATGTAGCCGCCGCCTCTGGGGCCCTTCCCGAACAGATGCAGGGGCGGAGAGCTGCCGTAGCAGGAGGCAAACTGGGAGGAAACGGAGAAGAGATGGAGATGGAGTTTTTGTTAGATTACAGCTGAACAAATGTTTCGATTTCATTAGGTCTGACTGGTCAAAACTTCAGGTGTACAACTGAGAGACGGTCCCTAAGAATGTCTATCAGTATTAGGGTTACACTGAGGAGGACAGATGAACACTTTACAGACATAGTTGTTGTTGTTGTTGTTGACAAACGTCAACACCAAGGCCAATATGGAGGTGATGTCTGTAACCACGCCTCCTGCTGTCAGTGTGGTGACCTGCAGTAGCAGAGTCACTGTTTACACCTAATAATCCAAATAAGAGGAAAAACCAAGATGGAGGCGCGGGAACAAACCTCCTAGTTCTGCCTAATTCTGATCTGATCTAATGATTAATTCAACCAAGAAATTCTTTGAACTGGAGTACGATTGCAAATGATAAGAAGTCTCTTCTACGCATCACAACACACACTGACTCACACACACACACTCAGGATCAATCTCACCAAGACAGTTCAGCCGCAGATACATTTACAGGATGGGACACCTGATCGTGTACACTGGCCTCCCGACAGTTGTTTACTCATGCACACACACCTGTACACACACACCTGTATACACACACACTCGCACACGCACGCGTACACACCTATACACAGAACTGCTGGCATGGTGGTGTACCAGGAGCAGCAGCAGGATCACTAACACGGCTGCGTTTGAACTGGTGTCACACAACAACAAAAAAACACTTTAAAAATAAAAAATTAAATACAAATTTAAAAAATTTAAATTAAAAAAGTTTGTACTTCACCAGCATCACATTTAAAAAAAAAAAAGAATTTCCAGATTTTTCAGCTTAAAAATGTCTTAAACAAATATAATTCAAACACACACACACACACACACACACACACACACACACTGGCTGATACTCACAGGAACGACTGCAGCCATGGTGGATTCTCAGAGCTTTGCAGTGATGGAATGATTATTGTTCTTATACCTGAGCAGCCGGACAACTGGCCAATCAGGGACCAGGAGCCACAGCACAGCCCCGCCCACTCCTGACATCATCACAGTGAAGTCACTGTGAACTGACTGACTGACAGAGATGACGGGAGGTTCTGTGTAGTTTTCCACAGAAAACAGACTCTATCATTGACCTACACACAGTACATATATAAATATATATATAATAAAGTAAATATAGTAGGTACATTTATGAAGTAAATGTAAATTGTGAGTCAGAAATTAAAATATTTCTCACATTTAATGTCAAATTAAAGCACAAACGAACTAACAAAATAAGGTTTCAAAAATGTCACAAAAATAAAAAAATAAACCTTAATAAAGACACTAAAGAAAAATCACAACATATAGGGCAGTAAATATATCATTAAATATTCCTTAAATATTTTACGCAGCCATGGGAAAAATTAACAAATATTTGTTTATTCATTTATTATTATTTAAAATTGAAATTATTTTCCAAAACTTTTTTGCCTATATTTCTTATAATATTATAACAATAAAAAATATTTGTACAATCTTATTAATTTTTTATAATAATCCCCACTAGTGGTTTCGAAGTAATCCTCGTACCCTAACAATGACGTGCACACACGTGCACGCGCATCCAGAGCGTCAGGTTTCAGACACTGACACTCGGTGTTTTGCTGCGGACCCCTGCTATTGTTGACGAGGTTATATTTAGAAGCAGCTGTGAAGAGGAGAGGAGGAGCAGAGTGATTGGGAAAAGAAAAGAAAAAGAAAGACGAAGCTGAGGTGATGAAACAGGAACACAGAGATGTGACAAAAATGTGAAGAAAAGGAGAAAGTCAGAAATCCATGAAAAGGCCAACAGAAGGAGGCGGAAGGAGGCCGACGTCACGTGGTGTAGGGTGATGTGTGTGTGTGTGTGAACAAAGTGACGCACTGATGCGTTACATATCATCAGTCGGCACAATACCAGACATCACTGCTGGGAATTGAGACAAGATGGATGGACACGAGGGCCGTGACGTTTTTATTTTTTCTCTGTTGGTATTCCTCAGAAACAGAAACAGGAGAAGGTCTGGGCTGTCGACGTGTCAAATGACGGATTATTTTGATGCATGCTACTCTGCTGAAACTCATATGTCAACGTGTTATCAAACTGTCCACGGCCATAAAACACCCTGACTAATGACGTATGCCCCCTGTGTCAGACAAGAGACAAGCACATTTGGTGTTGTAAATCAAACCAAAAAATAGCTAATTCTATAAACAAGTGTTAAAATAAATAAAAAATTACAAAACGAAATATATTTTAAATGTTTTTAATATAAGGTAATTAAAACAAAGTGACATATATAGTGAATATATATATATATACACACATATACAGTATCTACAGTTCTATATAACTGTATGCTCAGTGCACCTCAGCGACTACAGTACATAAACTGTATGGGGACGTATGGGACTTGCCATGCTCAGTGCACCTCAGCGGCACCTGGTGGACGCTTCCTTAAACACCACTGCGCCCCCCCCCCAAAAAAAAACTACTCCTTCGAGCCGGAGTTGAACCAGCGACCTAAGGATTACTAGCACATTACCTACAGTCCTCCGCTCTACCAACTGAGCTATCGAAGGGTATAGCTAATGTTTTGATTTAAAAAAGTAAAACAAAAAGTCCTAATTTTATGAAAAACGTTCTATTTCTGATCGTGAAAGGATATTTTGTAAAATATTTAAAAAAATTATATTAAAAAAAAAAATCACATTGAATTAGTATCAGGTGAGCTCAAAAACAAGAACCTGATTGGTGGAAATGTCAATCATCACAGCCGATTGGTTGTGGATCAAGTCATTATTTTCAAGATGGCCGCCGGCGGCAGGATTCGTACTTTGTTTAATTTCTTCTTCTGATTTTACCAAACCGGTAACTTTTCCGTTTGTTATTTCATCTGGTTCTGTGATTAGCTGTTCGTTTTGTTGTTTGTTCTTGTTCTCATATCATTAATAGGTTTAGAGGGAAGTAATTTATCCTTTAGTTCTTTTGGTTTTCATTCCGATAAACCCACCGCTCTATTTTGTTTCAGTTAGTAGTTTTGAACGACATATAACTCAACCATCTTAAAATGGTGGAAATGACACTTTTATCTTAAATTTTGTAAATATAAATTTTGTTCTATCTCAGTCGTGTTTGTTCGACTTAAGACAACAGAAAGACAACTATTTATGGAGTTGTTTATTTCCGTCTGTCAGTTGGAAATCAAATTTTTGCTGTATTTGGGCGAAGTTCTGGACCTTTTTATTCTCTCTTTTTGTGTCTTCCTTAAATCCGTCTTTTCGGCTAAATAAAAAAGTTAAAACGTCCAATTAAATTTCTACCTTTTACCTCGTGTGGAACCCATGAGAGATTTAAAACTATTTATGTAATGATCCTTTTCTGCCCCCTGCTGTTATTTACTCAACATTGCCTCAAAAAGTAAGAAATTCCGAATTATGCAAATAATTTAGAAAGTTTCGTGATATTAAATATTAAAATGTATTTTTTATTTATTTTTTATTTTTTATTTATTTACTGTCAAAACAGCACGTATATTTTTTTCACAATAAAAGCCCTTCACTAGCAGAAAAACGACAGCAGGGGCAGCAGAGTAACAATTATATATAGTATCTGAATAATCAGTGTCAACAATATTGTCCCCAGCTCTTCCTGTTTCATTCAGTGAGTGTTGAAAGAGCTTTAATTTGAATAAAACGATTATTTACATCCCCAGACAAACGTTGAAACATTTTAACAACAGTAAACGTGATCAAATTTACAGCAAATCAGAGACAGACAATAACACAGAACATCACTGTACCATGTACTTATCTACCAGTTCATATTGAAACAGTGCACATGACATGATATGCCTTTCATTCTCCAGGTGATTCTTTGCAGACTCCAGCCAGGCTTGGAAAGTTGTTGTTCCAGTTCTCGGGATATTTGATGCTACAATTCCAGATGTGTGTAAGTCATTATCAGGGAATTAAGTTCAGTTTTTTAAGGCCTTGTAATATATATTTTTAGCACTTGTGGATAACGTGTTTCCGTGTATAATATAATTAAAGTAACTTCTTGGATAGAGGTTGAAATCTAAACCTTAGATCATCCTAAATATTCCTTACATAATATACAAGTTCTTGCAATGGCGCAAATTGGACTGCAACGTGGCCTATTGACCACCAGGTAGCGCTGGTTACATGGCATGACACTAAATGCGGTGATGGAAGTTATTTCTGATCGGCCTCAGAGGCAGAGCCGGTTTTTATTTTCTTAACCAAACGTTGATCTTTAAACATAAACTCACAGCACAATTTTCCAATGAGTGGTGTGTTACGATCCTGGCGGAACTCCAGATTAAAAACCATTAACGAAGAACATTATACAATCTGCAGAAATCACACGTCAAAAACCTTAAATTCACAAATTCAACGCCATATCGCTGTGGGTTTTAACCGATTTGTACCCACTCTTTACCCGTCACCGACTGTTCAGGAAAGATAAATGCAGAAATGATACGCCCTTGTTAATTAAAGATACAACGAACTGTTTTTATACATGTCCATGTGTGATAGTTAAGTTTTGGAAATCGACAAGGTACGATAAAACTCCGCCTTTGGGTGTGAAAAATAAGTTTAAATTAAAAAAACCCGAGACATTTAAGTACAGTCGGATTTAGCGGACTCTTGCTTCTGATTTAAACATCTAGTTACCAGGAAGTGACCGCAGGTGAGGTTAGTACTTGTTGTGTACTCAGCATCGAGTAAGACACAAGTTACGTAGTGTTTATTTACAATTTACACGTGTACACCCCTACTTCGACAGGAGTTTGAAAGTATTTTAAATGTAGTATTTTAACGACAGGAGTTTGAAAGTATTTTAAATGAACTACTAGTACTGTCGATACTAAAACACTGTTGCGCCACAGGTGCGCCTTAATGGAGTGTTGTGTTCACGGAAACACGTTATTTTTTTCCCTTTTTATTTTATAACTCTGTCATTTGACAAACTTCGACGTAAACCCTAATTCGGCAAAAAAAAGTCACACTTTTGAAATAACTATGTAAAAAATTCGATTTAAGGGAAAAAACAAGTTTTACAGGCTTTTGTGGGCTGTGGTGACGGTCTTGGCGGCGTCTCTGAACGCCTCACAGACCCCGCCTCCTGGCCGCTGTCCTCTGTTGTTTAAGTCTCCAGAGTTTCACAGCTGCTGGGTGTCATCCGCGGAGTTGAACTCTTTACCTAGCAGTCAGGTCGACGGTCTCCGAGGTGGTGTCTCCTTTTTTTTTTCCTCTCTCCTTTTTCTCTCGCTTCTTCCCCTCCCCGTCTTCACTTTTCGGTTCGGGCGGACGTTCAGCATCTCCATCCCGTCTGTCAGGATGTCTCCGTCCCCCCGCTTCTTCACAGAGAGGGAGGTGGCCCGTCACTGCACCAAGGACTCCTGCTGGGTGCTGCTAGGGACCAGGGTGTACGATGTAACCGCCTTCCTGCGGATGCACCCGGGCGGGGAGGCGCTCATACTTCGCCGCTCGGGCAAGGACATAAGCCGGGAGATAGAGGGACCCCCGCACCGGCACTCGGAGAACGCCCGGCGGTGGATGGAGCAGTACTACATCGGGGAGTTGGACAAGACCAGCGGCAGCGACGAGGCACAGGTGCGTGACCGACCCACACTTAACAACAACAGGTGTAATTCTCAGAATCCGCCCCCTGTGCCTAAACATCTCATCTAAACACCGTGAACGAACATACGCGATAAAACCCAATATTCTTAACGTTATTTCAAACCACTTTTCACAGCTGTTTTTTTAGGCCCCAGAGGCTGTGGCTCCTTAGGGATGACAGCAACTTCCCATTTTGCAAATTAAAAATGGGGCAATTATTGATTTTTTTTTTTATTGTACATAATAACACAATAAAACGCTCTTAAAATGACAACGATCATGTTTATTGATCATTATCTGGATAATAAAATGTTGTGCTGATGAACCAGCTACAATACAGGTAATTAAACCCTTCTAACTGTAGGAACCTCCATGGAGTACACGTCACGCTGTCACTGTTACTTAACATTTTATCAGCGTGAATCAAAGTACACCTTAAACGTCAGACTCTCTCTCTTTATCCATTTTTATCCAAGTTTTTGCTGTTGGCAAGAAAGCCCGACATTCAGCACAGCACTTCCTAAAAGTGACATCTACTCAATCTCAATTATAAGTTTTGGAATCTCGTGGAACCAGATGACAGTCTAGAGCAGAGGTGTCATTTTGTCAAAACTAATGTATGCACACGGTCCTGCGGGGGGCGCCAGTGATGTAATACTAATGAGATAAGATTTAATTACAAGTAAAAACATAAACGGACATTCGTTAACAATAGATGTCCTGCTAAATGTATTAATTTATATTCACAATTTACAAAAAAACCCCAAAACTAACAGTGTGGACTGTCCCATGGTGGCCTCCCAGACCACACCTAGTGGCCCCTGATTTGGCCCACGGGCCTTGAGTTTGGCAAATGTGGCCTCGGCTGCAAAAACGCATTGATTTAAAAAAACAAACAAATCTTTTTTATAAAGTTAATGCAAAGCAGCTTTTGTCTCTAATAATGTAACGATATCTCTTATTGACCCGTGTCAATCATACACAACAGTAAATACTGCAGTTTCAAATGCAGTTTTTTTTTTTTTTTTATACTACATTTTTTTTCCTCTGTGAAAACTCCGAGCGTGTTTGGCTTCTTTTATTGCCCCACAGTCCCCAAACATGTTTATCCTACCCCCACCCTCTGCTGAGGAGGTCAGTGTAACCCCCCCGCCCCTCACCCCCCCCACTGTGTCCTGCAGTGCTGTGTTTATGGTAAACACTTCTGATTGTGTTTATGTTGTGACATCAGTTACAGTGACTGCAACGGCAGGTAGTTTGTAACAGCTGAATAACTGTCTCTGGCTGGACTTGACTGGGCGTTGACTGTCAGGCGTAGAGAAGGAACCGTGTCCTCCTCCTGCAGCTCCTCCTGCAGCCCCCCCTCCCCCCCCCTCCTTCTCCTGTCTTTTTTTGGACTATATTGATAATAGGTGAGGGAATGTGGAGTTAGAGGAGCAAAGTAGGGAAGGGCACACATGGGTGATAGGGTGTGTGTGTGAATGCTGCTGTAGGGGGGGGGGCATTGTTAATGAATGATTGTGTGTGTGTGTGAAACGAGACAGAAAACTGGTTTATCTTGTCCTCTTCCACATAAAGGGCAAATTTTTAGGGCAGACGGCAAAACATTTTCTCACCTGCTGGATACACTGAAACCTTCCCCGCCCCCCTCCCTCCCTTCCTGTCTCCCCATGTCTCTCACCCTCACTGGAAATGGTCACTTCACTGAAATACTGTACCTACTCTGCTGAAACCGTTACCACTACGTGTCTATCCTGCTGCTGTAACAACTGAATTGCCCCAGTGTGGGGTGAACAAAGTCTTATCTTACCCTCCCTCCATCCCTCCCTCACCCTTCACCCTCCAACTCTCTGTCTGAGAGGAGAGAGAAACCCAAAGGTTTTGCATAAATCTCTCCTGACAAAGTTGACATTTACATGTTTGTACCACTACTACGTGTACACGTGTGTGTGTGTGTGTGTGTGTGTACGCAGGAGGCGATGTGCATGCTAACACATATTTTCCGTTCAGTCATTATTTTTCAGCCTGACTGAGTTCTATCTGCGGTTCAAAATAAACCTGCTTCCACACCAGCACACCTGAGAACGCTCGGCACGCCACATGACCTGCGATGAACGCCGGCTGTCTCGCTGTGTGTGTGTCTGTGTGTGTGTGTATGTGTGTGTGTGTGTTCAGGGAGCTGATTTGCTTCTTTTGCATCTATTTATTCTTCTACTTGTAGTTACAGAAGACAACACAACCAATGAGAAACCTGGTAGAACACTTCCTCATAGACTTCCACGGCAGCAGGGCCCTAATGGAAGGACATTTGAATGATTCACGTCTGACTTCTAATTAAAAAAAAAAACAAACAAACAGAAAAATCATATAATAGAATAGATCTGTGATAACTCAGATTCCTTTGCACCAAAATCCTGACTTTAAAAAAAACTTTTAAAAAATCCTGTTCCTCTGACACTTGTATTACATCATGACAACTTCCAGGTTTTGTCAGTGGTGTTATAATTATAATGATGTTGATGGCAACATTAACACAGTATGATCTACGTTAACATGTGTAACATTTTGGCTATCGTTTGTTATTTGGTGGTGAAACTGTTGGTAAATAACGTCAGTCATCAAAAACTTTTTTATTATTTGAGTGTTTTAAAAAAAACTGTAAATCCCACAATCCCCTGCAACAACAGCCCAATAAAAACACAGGGAGGGGGGGTTATTATGACACAAATACTCCCACTCTGACACATCCCTCAACCCCCCCACCCCCAGAACCGAAAGGTTCCGATAATACAAATAATATATAGTAAAATATCTATATGTACCTCTGCAAGTATATAAATATATATTTTTTTCAAGTCTGTTAATTACTTTAATCTGTAATAATCTCAATCCCTGTCATGATGTCAGACTCCTCTCTGCCCACATTAGCTCCTAACTCACGGCGTTGTGTCAAAGAAAGCGCTCAGGCATTACTGGCCAATTATTTCATACATTTTTAATGTGTGACGTTTTTCAAAGGTAAATAATTAACAACTTTTGTTCTATTTAAGTTTGCCACTGTGACAGTCTCCGTCCAGGGACTGATCATTGTTGGTATCTGTTATTTGGTTCCTGAATACGCTCTCAGTCATTGACCTCGCCAGCTGATGATGTCATTGGAGCCAAAACACTTTGAACTCCCTGTGTGTTTTTACCTTAAGCAGCTGATTATCATAACCACTGAAGTCCCAGACGACAATAACTCAAAGTTGTCAGTACTGGAGGAACGACATGCAAATATGAATACACTTTGGTCCTGGTATGAGTTTTCTTTTGGCTTACATTTTTCAGGTGCAGCATCAAAATGATTGACGTCTTATTTGTTTTCATAAAGGTACCATGAGGCCAAGCCCAGTGCCACACATTGACTATTTGTTCACAGACAACCTGTCATCCACGGGATTAAGGCCCTGGCAAGGGCTAACGTGACAAAACAGACTACAGACAACCTGTCATCCACGGGATTAACGTGACAAAACAGACCTGGGATTAACTTTATTTCTGCATGAGCATTTACTCAAGTCTTTACGGGATTACTTTATGGCAGTAATTCCTGTCTACCCAATACGTCTTCCCGCCTGCTCCCCATTCCAATATAGAATTGTGACACCTTTCTCACTTCAGTGACGCAAAAATCGTATCAAATTTGATGTGACAGTTCAGACTGAGGTCATCGGATACGTATCCGTATTTTGGAGCCTATGTGACCGTGGCCCGGTTCAGATTGATATAAATGGGACTTGTGCTGTTCACACTGTGATTGGAAAAAAAACAGATATGGGTCACATTTTGTTTGTGGCCCACCTTTGTCTGCAGTTTGAATGTGGCCTATGAGATTGTTTTGATGTGTTGATGGAAAAATATTACTTAATATAAAGAACGACTTTGATGGATGCTCTGACTGCAAAATAAATAAGGAAAAACAAATGTCTGCAAAGAAAAAAGTAATAGTCGTTGGCAGCCTAGGTGTGTAGTTGAGCAGTGCAGTGTCATCTGCATAAGTCGACACTTAACTGCGAAGATTTTGGGATCCAGAAAATGTGGTCGTTCCTGTCTGATACCACGTACACCAATCAGACAGGACCTGGACTTCATTCTAGGTTTTGTCAACTGCTGAGGCCAAATCCACTAATCCACCTGTAGGAATGGGAGAATGTCTGCAAAGATGTGTGTGTGTGTTTGTGTGTGTGTGTGTGTTTGAGAGCTTAAACGTAAAACATGTGTGCTTGGGAGCAGGTTTATATTCAAACAGAGGATGTACTTTGAACTTGTGAGGCATGAAGGGCAAATAACTGCCAACTTCAACAACTCATTTAAATAATGTTAGCTGGTTATCAGTGAAGCAGAGTGGTTCGTTTTTTTAATTAGGAAAAATGTCTGTCCAACAATAAATATGGTAATGTTTACCTGGACCAATGGCTAAATAATACTATAAATACACGTCCTTCTTTCTCCTATGCTGCGGTGACAGACAGAACAAATAAATACTCTGCCACTAGGGGGCTTCAACCTTGGCTATTAAAAACAAAAAATACAGAGCTGTCGAAGAAGAGCTTTGTTTGTGTTCAATTCCTGTGAGTATGTCAGTGTTGTGTTCAACTAAACAGGCCCTGGATTCACACTGGGAAAGTAAATGTGCGGAAATTGAAACTAGAAGATCAATATATTTCCTCACATAGAAGTTATTGATTTGTTTCCACAGGAGGCGCCATTGTCTAGTTTAGTGTAATGCTTTCGTTATCTGACAGTCCTTGGTCCACATTACAGTGTATCGGTATGACAAGAATTGAGTTTTTGCATATTGACGAATGAACACGGCCCGTCCCTTTACTCCGCCTGTCAATCACCCCGAGCATTCTGCTCGCTGTTTCAATGACCTCTGTTTATCCGAGGAAGCAGAAATATCCAGCACAACTTGATCTTCCATCTGCGTTTCTCAGTAAACCTATCCA